AATAAAAAAAGAATATTATGATATTGTTGTCAATAGCTCTGTTGTTATGTTTTTGTGGTCATTAGCTCTACGTAATGGTTTTATTTCTGAAAAGTTCTAGTCTCTTAGCGAATTCTGAAATATGTGTTCTTCAATGCTAACTATTGTGAGATATTGTTGTTTTAAAATTGATGCGCCGTATATGGCACACACTGCTCTTGAAAGTTGACGAACAAACACGCACAAAAAGAAAGAAAAAAGCCCTTTCTTTTGACCCACATCGTGCTTCGTCCCTGTTCTTTTCTTTTCTTTTGTTTACCATGCATTTCCCGCGCACTAAAAGGCCATTATTGGGTCTATTTGCTTCTTTTTAATCAAACCCAAACTATAAACGGTTGTTATTATGTAGATGTGCTCATTTGTGATGAATCATTCAATCAAACAAACAAACGAGCAAACACACACACACACACACTCATAAACAGACTGACAAACAAAGACACAACACACACACAAACTAACCAGCACACAAACACATCCACAAACTTACAAAAAAAAACAAGCAGGCAGACAAGAAAACAAACAAACAAGCAAGCAAACATACAAACAAACGAACAAAAATGCAATACGTTTGGCGTATTGTGTCTCATCATGTGTCTCATCATGCGTCCCCAGGAGAACGGGCGTCAGCTGGTGATCATCTCGGCCCAGCTGCTGGACTTCGGCGACTACTCCTGTGAGGCCAGGAATGAGGCAGGAGATGACCGCTTGCAGTTCCGGGTGTCCATCATGGGTGCGTCATGTACACTGGCAATATCATATCGAAACACAAACAGGCATACAAACGCACATAAGCACATACATGTCAACACACGTACATACACACAGACACACACCGACACTCGTACACACACTTACACACATATGTATGTACATAAACACCACGGTAAATTTTGTAAAAATAACGAAATGATGCTTTCTTTTTTAAGCTGCTACAAAATGGCGTGTCTTTAAGTGTTGCCATAGAATGTGCCTCCTCAGTGAGTTAAGATATGTGCAATAAGTTTCCGTAACCATCCGCAATGTCTTCTTAAAGCATTGACACATCCAGACCCTGGGTGATAACTTCAGTCACGATCGTACTTTAATAACTTCCTGATGAACTACCTCCTCTTATTTTTCCATTTTGTCTCCAGTACCATGCTTGATATGGAAACCATGTCTCTCACATTCTCAACACATGTTCCAAATATGATAATAATAATACTCTTCCTCTCATTGTGTTTTATAGTCGTGTTGATATCTTCAGTCCTTCATCTTTCTTAGACTTCCTTATTTACAGTAATTTGATTTCATTAAATTGATTAGAAAATATGCTCGCTAAGAAAAGATTTAACCCTATCAGTACGTCGTGTTTACTATCGTATCCATACGACGTGGGGAACTCTGTGTCACCATTTTCCAAAGATGAAATGCACTCATGCACCCAATCCGTACGCTTTGCATAGCAGTCTGTCAAAATAATTTGTTGAGAAATACTGAAAGCTTCAAAGATATCTTCGTACCAGAAGTATTTTAAAATGTGAAGAATACAAAATGACCCCAGGGCGTACGGATAGGGTTAAAGAGATGTGGAATAATATATTAATTTTCTCTAACCCTTCCCGATGTCTCCTCTTCCCACAGTACCCCCTGAGATCGAGGACGGCCCGGTGGAGACGGCTCAGATCGTCAACTCCCGAGCCCTGCTACAGTGTGAGACGAGCGGGCAGCCCAAGCCGGAAGTGACGTGGTCGAAGGACGGGAAACCATTCCCGGCCACGGGATTACGTCACCGGATGTTGCCCGCGGGGTCACTGGAGTTCATGCTTGTGAGGCTGGAAGATGACGGATTGTACCAGTGTACGGCTAACAACGCTGCGGGGAATGTGTCTAGGAGTATACAGCTCAATGTGCAGAGTAAGTTGTTTGTGTGTGTGTGTGTTTGTATGTGTGTGTGTGTATGT